AGGTCAGGACAGGGATGCCCAGGAAATGCCTTCTCTTTCATCAGACAATGGCAGAAAATGGCCAGACCATATCAGAAAGACTGGCTTTGATGCTCAGTTCTCACTGCTAAAAATATCTTTACTTAAAGAGGTAACCAAAGTGGTGCTGCCAGCTGCACTGTAGGGTCTTAAACTAACACCTGGCATTGCAGCAGAGAGTATGTGCGCTTGTTTGGCCTGGGTAGCTAGAACCAAAGGGAAGAGAATCAAAATACCACGATCTTCTCATTTTTTTTCTGTGCTTCTGCATTTAATGATGTAGCTGATGGAAATCAGAGGTGCTCTCTGCCCATTGCGACACCAGGATGAAGCCCTCAGTGATCTTAAATTCATCTTCTGGCTGCCCTTTCCTCAATGACTAGAGTGAAATGAGGCAATAACCTTATTTGATTTGCACACACCACAAAACTTTCCGCTGAGGTTAGAGACCTCTGTGGAGCTGATTTAAGCTGCTGGCTCTGGGTTGGCTTCATCTCCACACACTGAGTAGATGTATGCCACAGTCCCATCCCCCTCAGACTGGCACCCACTGAAGCAGATGAATATTAGAAATCTGATGCTGATGGATGTAAAGGAGAAGCAGTCTGTTCATGCAGTATGAAAGGTACATATACAATATGTTTGTATGGCTTTATTTTTCAAATTCTGCAATTCATTCTAAGTATGGTATTTTGGGTCCAGCTCCTAATGAGATCCCACGAATGGCAGAGTACAGGCACCTCAGCAATAAGGACTAAAGCTGATCAAGTGGACTCTGCCTAATTATGAGCTGAGAACTTTAAGAACATAACACATGGCACTCATGTCCCAGTGGTGAACACAGACTGATGCCAGAGGCCACAGAGAAAATACCACATAGGGAAACATGATGCAGGCCTGAGCTATCTTACAGAATGGGAAGTGTTTGGATTTATGGGCTTGAACACTTACTCTATTCTCGTAGCTGTTAACAAATGAGGTGGAATATATCCACAATGCATCTTGAATTTCTCAGGAAAATTGTTTCCTGGATCTTGCTGAAATTGTCTTTTGGCTGTCAGTAAAGAAAAAAACCAAACAAACAGATTCAAAAGATTTTAGACAACATTTTCTTAGAATCTAGATGGTAAAATGGCCATTTCGTTTGGTTTGGATTTGACAGCCTGATATTGGCACTAGCCTGAAACTGTAATAATGTACTTTTCTTTGGCACAGTAATAATACCACAGCTAAGTTTCTGCAGGTGATAATGTCTCTCTGAGGACAGTTGACACTCACACTTACCAAAGCTGTGAGTCAAATGAAGATCCAAAGGCTATTTAATCCCTAACTTAAAGCTTCATTTTCCTAACTGCTGCGTCTGTAGTGACTTCCATGCAAGTCAGTAGGTTTAACTCTTTATTTTAGTTTCCTTATCTTAAAATTTCTTTCAAATACATTTTATTATTTGTTGGTATCTTTTAAAAATTATTTTATTTCTGTCATTTCATGGGAGTGTTCCTAAAGAACAGACTGTATAAACATTATGTGAAGGTGTTACATTCAAAATGTTATTTATGGGTGATGAAGGCTCTTTATATATAAAGAAAAGATTTTATTATTAGCGTTAAATTTAAACAAGGTAATCCAAAAATCATTATTGGTTGAGATCTAATCATTACAGAAAAGAATACTTTTGTGCAGAAAGAAGTTTCAGTAGTAGTAGTAGGAGGAGTAGTAATAGTAATAATAATAATTATTATTTCTAAATTCTTATGCACACACTTCTCAGTTTCTACTGCTTTTCCTGATGTTTCATCCACCCTCCCTCTGTTCCTGTGGGTCTTGAAATGGGCAGTTTCAGTCTGATGGGATTCAGTGAGAGCATATGGTGTGTCATTGGCATCTGGAGTCCTTTGCTGGGACAGCTGTGATCTTCATTGTGATGGTTTCTTTTTTCTTATGCTAGGAGCTGCTTGGGGCTTTTTTATATTTGATAATACATTTAGACCTTGCTGTTTTCTCCTTGATCTGAAGCTCCAGGTTACAGAAAGGTTTTACAGGTTGTGTCTTATGTGAGATATTTCTTTATTCTCCTTGTTACCCCTAAAAGTAGTTTTGCCCAGCCCAGATCTGCATTTCTTTAGCTGAACACCAGTGAGTTGTTTATAGCTGTGAGGTCTCCAGCACCAGCCTGTGTCCATCTCTCTAGTTATGGCCACACCATATTACAGTGCTTCAGTGTAATAAAGGTCACAATACAATTCAGGCATGCTTCATACAGTATGGGGCATATATGTAGAAAATGTTATTATCAAGTAATACTCATCCAGATGAGAAAAAACTCTTTATAATAAAAAACTCAATTGCAGAGACACAGACCAATACAAAATTCTGCATGGAGGAATTTTATCTGTAAATCAGCAAAAGGCACAGTAGGAGCCTTGGGGCGAGGCAGGAGCAGGAGGCCAGATTTATAGACCCATGTTTACTTATAAGTAAATATAATGCAGAGTTCACAGTTCTCCATTCATTTATTTTCAGGAATATGGAATGTATTTCTTGCTATTTATTCTAGGTAAGAATATGTATGAGTTAACAAGAGGCACCAGTCCAGAGATGTATATTAGAAACTGTGGACTGGAAGTGTGAACGCATAAATTTTTTATCTCTGGGCATATTTTGAATGCTTACCACCTGCAAGGGGATGTCTACAGATGCAGGGTAGGGGACTGTGCAGCTGGGCAGGTATTGCCAGGAGTACATGCACTGCATTAGTGATACAGCAAAAGGAGAGCATCCTTATTTCTCTTCTACATCTGTAAATTAACACTTTCTGCATTGCTGTGAATGAAGAACCAGGTAAAGGGTATCAGATTTTCTCCTCACTTGCACTCCTATTAATTCATTTAACTCAGTATCATGAATAGTTAGCACAAATCAGTTGTTAGTGATCAGGCTGTGCTATTCCTAGATCATAAAAGTCAGAAAATATTGGAGAGCTAAGTCTTGGATGTTTAGTCATATATAGTGATTAATCTTTCAGAGATCATATAATCATAGAATATCCTCAGTTGAAAGGGACACAGAAGGCCTGCATCTGGCTCTGCACTGGATACCCCCAAGAGTCACCTGACAGTGTTGTCCAAACACTTCTTGAACTCTGTCAGGCTATTGCTGTGACCAGCAGCAGCTTCCCTGGGGAGCCTGTTCCAGTGCTCAACCACCCTCTGGCTGAGAAACCTTTTGAGGTTTATAACAAATCTCCCCTGACACAGCTTCAGGTCATCCTCATTCCCTCAGGTCCTGTCACTGGCTACCAGAGAGCAGAGATCAGTGTCTGCACCTCCTCTTCCCCTCATGAGGAAGTTGCAGACTGCAGTGAGGTCTCCCCTCAGTCTCCTCTTCTCCAGGCTGAGCAGACCTCAGCCACTCCTCACATGGCCTCCCCTCAAGGCCCTTTGCCATATTTGTTGTTCTACTTTGGACACTCTCTAACTAATAGCTTTGTATCCTTCTTATATTGTGACACCAGAACTGCCCCCAGCACTGGAGGTGAGGCTGCCCCAGCTCAGAGCAGAGCAGGACAATCCCCTCCCTTGCCCAGCTGGCCATGCTGTGCCTGATGCCCCCCAGGACAGTGTTGGCCCTCCTGGCTGCCAGGGCACTGCTGACTCAAACTCAGCTTACCCTCAACCAGGACCCCCAGGTCCCTTTCTGCAGTGCTGCTTTCCAGAATTTCATTCCCCAGTCTGTACATCCAGCGCTGCCCTACCCCAGGTGCAGAATTTGGCACTTGTCTATGTTAAACTTCGTACAGCTGGTGATTGCCCAGCCCTCTGATTTGCAAAAGTCTCTCTGCAGGACCTCTCTTCCTTTGAGGGAGTCAACAGCTCCTCCCAATTTAATAGATAATTCTTAGTTTTGAATACTTATTTTTTTATATTACTCTGTAAGGAAAATTTCCATCCTTACAAAACTGAATATTAAATAATGGAAAAGGTTCTCATGGGGAGATGGCTGTGCTGGAATGGTTTTCCTGTGAAGGAATCATAGGTCACTCACAGAGTTCTTCACATTTTGGATTTCTTTATTTTATTTTTAGTAATTTGGATGCTTGTTGCACTAGCTTGTTGGATACAAATCTAGGTGTGTACATGGGAACAGGGGCAGTGTGTTTGTAAGAGGAGATCATCAACAATCTGCAGTGCATGGAGTAATGACACTGACAGTAATCATACTGATTCTGCCACTGTTGCTTTCAGTTTGGACTCTAATGAGCCATGCCATCAAACCCATTTTCAAGTGACTGATGGTGGGTACAGATAACCAAGTGAAAAATTCCTTTAAATGCAGCTCTTCCTCAGCTACGGTACCACATGCTACCAAAATATGCATAATGCTAGGTAAGAGCTTCCACATTCCCGAAATTATCTTGTCAGCTGAAATATTGCAGTGGAGAAAACTGCTTGGGTTGATTCAGGCAGATTATGTTGAAGGGTCTGCACTTGCAGTGATTGTTTATCTAAATGTATGGAGACAAAATACAGAAAACACAGGTTGAACAAGTAGAATACAGATATATGTGGTGTTTGAAAGGCTCAGGCCTTCTTTGTCAATCTCATACCTGTAAACTGTTTGCCAAATTACAAGTTACTAAGAGTAAGTAGCATAGCAAAGTTTTTATATAGGTATTCTTTGTATTGCCAGGTTTGAAATAAGTATTCTTATACTGTTTTGTACTATCAGTTGGTAAGGTAGGTTAAGTACTGTCATTCTGAAGTGAGCTTTCATACACATGGAGCTGAGGTAAAAATTATATTGTAATATCTAATATAAATAAGGTATCCTATTTCAAGTGGGTCAGTCAAATTTAACGTAAGAAAATCCAATAATGGAGGCTTAAATATAGAACGTTTCTATTTAATTAATTAGAGCCATTTTAAAGGAAAAAATATACCATGAAAGCTTACTTTTAGGCTCTTACTTTTCTTTTTTAACAGGACTGGGAGTTTCCACATTTTATGGGTGATGTTGAAGTGAATCTTCCAGGCTTGCCCTCAGCACACATGCAATTCAAAGTACCTTATTTCCAAAAGATACTGAAAGAGGAATATCACATACACATAACAGGTAGGTAAATTTACAGATTGACACACAGTGAACTGCTTCTGTGTAATAAATGTATGCTCCCATGGTCTTAAACGTGGATTTTTGTGTGTGTCCCAGACTATTTTTCTATCTCTTTATCTGTCCATATCCATATTCTCCAGATATAACCATCTCAAGGAAATGAGGAACTTGTATCTTACAAATCAGAGAGGCCTGCTGCTTTTCATGGATTTCAGCAACTTCTTGTGACAATAATACATGATGTAACTTCAGACATCTTTTATCTAAAATTACTCTCTCAGGGAAATTAGCAGCTTATTTCATCTTCAAATCTCTTATGCTTTCAGATGCCTTTGCTATGATTTATGCTAAAATCTTTTCATAACTTCAGTAATTCTCATCTGGCAAAGGCCACTCATAACCTTACTTCCATCAGTCATCTAACTAGAAGCAGACAGTTAAATAACCTCAAATAAAATAGAATTGCAGTGATTCAAATGGATGATACATATAGATAAAAAGTACCTGATTCTTGCATACTGTGAGTCAGTATTTTAAAAACAGTAGGGAATGAAAAAGAGAAGAAGGTTAAATAGGGATAAATATTTTGGTTTTACCTTCAAGCTATACAAAAGGAATATAGCTGCTCTCTCTACATTGAGAAGGGATGGATAATAATGGATAACAGAAGAATGCAGGTGTGAATTGGCAGGGGTCTTTAACTGCTAATATAAAAAGTCACAGCACATGACGCCACGCAGAAATAAGATGGATGAGGGCAACCAAGGACAAGCCAAAAGAAACTCCTGCAGACCAGGGACAAAAGGAGCATTCAGAGATGGTACAAAGATAAGGCCAAGAGTTAGCAGGTGAGTCACAAGCTCAGCAGACAGCTGAAGCCAAGGGAAGAAAATGTGTCAAGGAAAGAATAACACCAGCACTGAGTTGAGGCAGACTGAATGAGGCCTCAGAAAAGGTGTTTTCAGCAGAGAATGCAGAAATGAGATTAAAAAACAGAAAAGAAGACAAAAATACTGCAGAAGTTGCCTGTTGACTATTGACTGTGGGAAGGCAAATGGGCCAGCAGGAATTGCAGATGTAGGGATAGAAAAGTTTTCAAAATTGAAGGTAGGTGCCCTGCTGGAATGCTGACAGAGAACAGCCAGCCAGCAAGGAGAAAGAAGAGCTGGTACATGCACACGGTACATGTTCTCTGAAGGAAAACGTTTGAACCATTAGTGGTTTATGGAACATGATAAAGTAAATGATGGCCCAGTCAGTGACTAGAAGGTGTAGGGTGAAAGGAGATGTGATGTGTACATAATGAATATATTCTTCTCTCCCAAGTGGGCAAAAAGAGAAAGGAGCAGAGAGAAAACAAAAAACCAAGAGTTTAAGCACCAAATATTTTATGTGAATTACAGGTATGAAATTCAGGGATAGCAAAAAAGATTTTATTTATTTATTTATTTATTTTTTTCAAGACTAGGGAATTAATTTTGAGGGGCTCAGTCCCACAGAGTTCCCAGATGCCGTACTGTTATTCCATTGTATAAGGAAAAGTAGTGGAATGGATGCACAGAGGAACAGGAAAAATGGCTGAGGCGTGGCAGGCTGGGCTGTGTCACCAGATACATAAACTTGGCATATAATTAATGGGTGATAAAAGAGGAATTGAAGAGCAAAGAACAGTTTTGCATTGTAGAAGAGACAGGGACATTGATGATAATCAGGGATAATCAAAGAATAAACAAGAGCAAAGAACATAAATTAGTGATCAGAAATGCAACTGCTAGCAGTGCTGCTGTTTGAAGACAGGCCAACCAAATAAAACCAATATTTATGCATTGTAGTCTTCTGCAGAGAGGACTGGCGTCCTTTCTGATTTTCTAGTGAGAAGGCATTCTTTTAATGAGGATGAGATAATGAATGAAGGCTGAGGAAAATTTTTCCCTGCTCAGCATTAACAAGATCCATTTATTAGATTCGCTAGGCAAATCAATCCATTTGACTGCACATCACGTATCCTGTCTGCTGAGTGCCTGTTTTATCTCAGTGCTGCACCACCCTTTAGGAGATCTAATAAACAGCCATAACACATGGCACAAGAACCTCCCTTTGGGTAAGTTTTGCTTGAACCATCTGTTCTTGCCATCAGTTCTTGTCTTAGGTTAGGGCATCATGTTGGATAATTTTCAAGCTCTAGTGACTGTCTGTATGTGCAGATACTTGAATATTCTTCTCAAGTCAAGGTGCTAATAAAAGAAAAAATCTGGTTTAAAAATATATATATATATAAAATAAAGATTAATATATTCCAATCTAAAATGATGCCCACGGATGCAACTGCAGCAGGTGACATGGCGGTAGGACAATGATAATGACAGGAAGACAGCTCTATTTAAGCCCTGTTTAATACACAGAATCCAGAATGTTAAATTTAACCATAGGACTTCTTTTAAGTAACTAGCAGGAAATAAACACTGAGGCCTGAAAAAATATTTCTTTTAGTACTAGCTATATAGATAAATCCAGGCTGTAAATCTATGATCTGTGCTCAAATTTTTAGAAACTGGAAATCATTTTCCCCCAAGTAGCAAGGAGAAAGAAAGCATGGCTGAAATAACATTTGCCATCCTTTTCCTGGCAAATTTTATTCTTTATTAGTTCTTACACACTCTGTTTTAGTCACTGTTGATTGATATAAATAAAAGCAACCCTATTCAATATTGTTTTTTCAAATAAGCAATGGTCCCACAAAGGAGCAGCTCTAAGGAAAGCAACATTCCGAGAAGTCAAGGATTTCAAGCCACCTTTCTGTTGGTGTGTCCTTGATGGCTTTGAGCAAGTTCTGTACAGAAGAAAATTTCAGTTACATGCTCTGTGTTGCCAGCTCTCCTGATTTCATCACAAGTCTTTAAACAGTTGCTCTTTTTCTTTTTCTTGTTCTTTCTTTTGTTCTTTTTCTTGTTCTTTTTTAATTATCTTTCATAAAATAAAGATCATGATTGCAGGGGAAAAAAGTTTTCTTCTGCATAATTCAATGTCTAAAAAGCTACTTTAAACTGATAACATGTTTTCTTAGGCCTGACTTGTGATTTCTGAATGTTGTTGGCAGTAATATTGAATTAACATCTCCTGACTCTAGCTGATATGCTTCAGTGTAATTTTAAATTTACTATGAAAAGTTTATCTTATTTTTACTGGTAACTGAGCACCTGATTTTACTCTAATTTATTTGGAGCTAGGAACTTCTTGCAAGCATCTACTGAGTATTAAATATTTTCGTTCTGTTTTGATAGCCACTATTTTATGAACATCAAAAATAACTTGAATTCCTGCATCTGCTTAGCTCATCTGGATTTCCCTTGACAGATGGTTCATTGCAAAGTGTGTATTTTCCTTTTTAGGCTGATGTTTATGAAAATACATAGTCTATCCTAGTTTCTATAATACCCAGGGAAATTTGTAAAACTTAAAACTAAATTTTGTTTCTTCAGATTCTTCCTTGTTTAAAAGGCACTGGGGGGCCTGCCTCATCCTCTTTAATGGCTGCACTGAAAATCCATGAGCACCTACTATCAAATATGCAGATAATTTTCAAACTGAAAATGTTATAGTTTAGGTATCAAAAGAGATGGGAGATTTCCCTGGCTGTTTATGACATGTTTCTGAGGGCTGATCTGGCCCAAGTGCCCTTCCACCCAAAGGAGAAACCCTCACCTTCAGAGCTGGGGAGTTCCCAGCATGGCTGGCTTGTGGAGTTAAACCAACAGCTTATCTGGATTCAGCCCAAGCTTATATACAGAGCAGCCTGAGGAAGTCTGTGGGCAAAAATAGAAAGGTTAGAGGTAAAAACAAAGCTGTCAGTGCACACAGATGTGAAAAAAACCTCAGAGGTTTAACATTGTAGATCAGCTGTGAGTGGTCTGTCTGTATGCATGTATCTAGCTAATAACACTAATGTGACAGAAGATAGGAGGAACATTTCAAAGGTTTTACAGCAGTGTCTGAGCACTTTTAGACACAAATTACAGCTGAGATAGAAGTCTAAAGTCAACATTTCCTACACTAGCCTCTGGCTGTGGTTGCACAGCATGAGGTTGTTTGTGTCTAGCCTTATTAAGTGAAATTTTCACGTTACCTCTTGACCTCAGTAAGGCTGCTGGGGACTGGCTTCAACAGGAGATCCTTCTTTTGGGAAATGAATGGTCTGTTCCAGAATGGGCATACAAAAATGAAACTGCTCCAGAATCAGCAGCTGTTTTGGAATATTGGGGTATATTCCAAATGCTGTGTGTGGGATTGCCCAAAAATCTTGTTCCATGTTGAAAACATGCCAATTCTTGGAAAAGAGGAAAATAAAAATCCATACTTCTTTCAAAATGAGAAGACCCCTGGCATTCATGTGCAGTGAATTGTTGAGCTTCACGTGCTCAATGTACTCATTGTTGAGCTTCAGCAGGAAGGGGAGACTGTTTCTAGGCAGAGTTCTGTACAGGCTGGTGTTCAGATGGTCCTGTGACAGAGGTCCAAGATGCCACAAGTGCAGGTTATTGTAGAATCAAGTTTTCCCTTCTGGTGAGTGTACTAGCCAGGAGGTTACAATCTTCTTCAACAGACATGCTTTCTCAGAAAACAGGAATGAATTTTCATCCCCAAATACTGGTTGTATTCTACAATGCTTATAAAAACATTTCATGTTTTGCATCGCAGCCTGACAAGGACACTAACACTCTTGGGTCCAATTTTGATTTTGGAGGATCTTTTTTGAATCAAATTTCAGTACTGTACCACATTTCCAAATACATCAAATCAGATTCCTAACTCTCCAAATATTATGTGTAGCATGTAAAATGTCAGTGCTATGAAAGTTATTAAGTTATAAAATTATTTACCAGGTCTCTTTTTAGGTAGTGCATGGCTGAATGGCACAACCTATTTTCCCACATGACTTTCTTCATTGTTAACTTCACTGAAAACTAGATAAAATTCTTTTCAGTTTGCTGAAATGATTGATTTGCCTTCCAGTCTTGAGAGCTGATCCTATTATATCCTTCCATTTCAAACTTTGTCTTAGAATAAACCATTCAAGAAGGGCTAAGTGGGGTCAGGTATATGCCAGTATTCTTGGCCACACAAATTTCATTGAATTAGAGCCAACCCTGAAGCAGTAGTTATAGTAATCCTACAGAAACTGGTTAAGAGACAAGTTAAATAACTTCACAGTGTGGGGCTCCATTTTCCCCTGTCACTTTTCATCTACTCAAAATATTTTTCAATAAAATTAATATCTATACATTAATATTATATTTATTATGATCCTTTGCAAACTTGCAAACTTGAACTTGTTCATGCGCAAGATCAAATGTTGTGACTGACTTTTAATTTACCTAGCTTATTTCCTATGTAAGCATGACTATATAACTTAAAGTTTGCTATAAAAATTATTATGCTAAAATTAAGTTGCAATAGACTATCATTTCATATACATAGATTATTAACATTTAAGTTATAATGTTAAAGGCTGGTCAATATATTAAATTTCTGTGCAACCACATATGAGCACAATGACATCTTTGTGCTCCAAAACATCACAGGTCTAGAAGGATTGCTTGGTTGGCTTATTTGGCTGTCATGCCTGCTAGTACAGCAGTGAAGTACCTGTCTCAGAGAGGGATAGACAGCAGAAGACACTGTATTCTAGAAAGAGGTAAATACTTTCTTTAAGTACCCCAGACAGCACTAACTCAGTCATTCTGTGTCTAAGAAGATGAATGCAGCCCTTGGCTACAGGGATTACTGAGTAGGAGCAGAAAGATGTCACTGTGTTCAGATGTGGTTATAGTAAAACAGTTACTCACACACAGCCTTTGGTTCAGGTGACAACTGTATTCAAAAGAAAAGGAAAAGTCATAGAGCTCATCAAGCATAGCAGTGATGCAGAGAATGGAAAAATTGTCTAGAAATAAGAAATTTGAGGAGTTTTGAGAAAATCCTCTACAGAACAGCAGCTGTTCTCAGTCAGCTAGCTGCCATTTAGACATGCAGGTTGCAGTTCATCTTTGCTGGGTGGGATGATGGACCTGAGTGGTCTGTATAGCCCACATGGACCCAACAATCCCAGCAGCTGAGCTCAGGGCTTCCTTTCTGCCTGCATAGCTCTGAGTAGGAACTGAGTGAGGGAGTTTCAAGTTCATACTTTCTATGAAACAGGAGCAGTGTATCTTTCTTAGATCAGGTGGGTGCTTAAATTCTTAATGTGAAAGGGGTGGAGCTTTTTTTAATTTTCATTGCAATTTTTTTTTGCCTACTTTTCCTAAGGAAATGAGAATTATGTGATTTTTTTCTATGTGTGGATTGTTTTCACTCTATCATACACAGCATCAAAAAACTTTTGAGCCCATGGCCATTTTCAAAACATTTTCAGACAGTGAGAATATGAAAAACAGTGATATTAACACTGTCCTAAGAAGTGGTGGTAAGGAAAAGAAGAGTCATCTAAGTGTCCAGCTGAGGAAAACACAAGTCAGCTATTATGTTGTGCTTGAGAGCAGCTATTGATCAGTGAATCCTATGTCTTTCTGATGAAAGACAGACGTGATGGGAAAAACAGAAACATGAAATACACTGCAAACATCCACTGGAAAGATGAAGTTACATTGTATTGATTGTTACAGTATTTCCTACTTCAGCATCACTTTCAGTCTCTTGCTGTTAAGAACTTAAATATTATTAAATGTGGTAGTGATAGTCTGAAAAGATAGTTTTCTTTAACATGTCAATTGTAAAATTGACAAAATCCCAGGGAGAAATCATAGAATGGTTTCAGTTGGAAGGGACCCTAAGGATCATTTGGTTCCAGCCCTTCTGATGTGAGCAGCGATACCTTCCTCTACACTAGTTTGATCAAAGCCCCATCCAACTTGACTTTGATAGAGAAGTTATTCAGGAATTATAGATTGCCTGCAAGGTCTTTTCAGTTCAGTTTTTTTTTCTGGACAGTGACAATAACAGAAGAGAATAAATATTCTTGTTTATTTTCAATCTATTGTATCTAAACTGAAGAGAGCTATTAAACATAACTCCTGAATACAAGAAGTTAGTCTCCTTGCCCTCCTTAAGAATTCTGGTTATACAGTTTGAGCACACATACTTTCAGGAACTGGAATCCATTAATTTTTTGCAAGTCACTAGCCTAAGTAATTTGATAGATCCTATGATACATTTTCTTTTTCATTTGAAACATACTTTAATATGATTCCAGCAAAGACCAAGATCATTCATCACCAGCAGGAACATTCCTCCATGTACGTATTTTCACTTAATGCTGACCATGTAGATTTGCCAGGTTCTTGGGTGGTGGCAGTCATCACTGCGCAGGTGAGATTTAAACTGTGTCCAGCTAGAATGTAAGATATGCTCTGACTGTAAAAATAGTATAATTTGTTATGTGTATTCACAGACACAGATTATAAAAAAATAGCTAAGCTGACTAGACTCTGAAGTCTACAATCAACCCTTAGTATTTCTCAAGAATCTTACTGTGATTCTATAAATCACAGTTTGTCTGACTGCCCATACCTGAATATATCTATACTCCATGCCTGGTTTATCAAAAACCACAGGTATATACTCTTAAAATTCACATAATTACCAACCTCAAAAAACTCAGTCACTTCAGTAATTTCTGGAATATAAGTGGTTCTTTCAAATATGGCCTTTTCATGGAAAATTTCAATATGCATTTTTTTTAAAGTCATGGAATTAATGCTTTTTTAGATTTATTGATCTATAACATATCACCTAGTGATCTAATCAAGTGGTCACTTACAAACTGTAATGTCAATTGAATAGATATACTGGTGTGATTGTGTTACAAAATTGTTATGTGTCCAGACCTAATTGTGAAATACTAAGGGATATTCAGCATAAATCTGACTGTGATGGAAATTTATTTACAACTTTGCTTTACAGATTAATAATAAAGAGCTCTTTTTCTCTGAGTATTTTTACATATAATGGAATTTGTACTGCTTCTAAAATGGATATATCAGATGACAAAACTTTCTTTTTCCAAACAGGCAAATGGTTTAACTATGGAATTATCTTCCTTGTTTTAATCTTGGATCTGAATATGTGGAAGAACCAAATATTTTACAAACCTCATGAATATGGTCAATATATTGGTCCTGGACAGAAGATCTACACAGTGAAGGACTCAGAGAGCTTGAAAGACCTTAACAGAACTAAGTTATCTTGGGAGTGGAGATCCAATAACACTAACCCATTGACAAACCGGACCTATGCCGAAGGGGACATGTTCTTGCACAGCAGGTTCACAGGCTCCAGCCTTGATGTCAAATGCCTGGCTTTTATTCCAAGTTTGCTGGCTTTTGCTCTGTTTGGTTTCTTCATCTGGTTCTTTGGGCGATTTCAGAAAACTGACCAAGGCATGGAGAATTTAGACAAATCGTACACAAGAATGAAACGAAAGTCACCATCAGATATGGGAATGACACGAGAAAATACACAGGTGTTAGAAGAACCATTGAATTTTCAAGAACCACATCTGGTATCCATAAAATCAGACTTAAGTGAAATAGTTTTTAATTCTTCTCTCCTAACTTCTGAAAACTTGAACGCACAACTGAATGAACAAGACAGCCCTTTACAGCCAGTACCAGAGTCCTCTGTCCCTAAGAATAATCCTGTGACATAGAGGAAAATACCCAGGAAAATCAGTTTAAATAAGCAGTTACTCTAAGATTTCAGTTTTACCTTTTGTAAGTTAAGATTTACATAGTGTTTAGAATAAGAAACTCAACCTATACCAAGAGGTGCTCAGCATGCTTTTTCTAGGAATTTTGTTTTTTATTTGTATTATAGTACGTGCCTATTGTATATCTAACATTCCTTTATAGATTGCTTCCCAAAATTGCACAAGCTATTTATTAATACATTACCTTAACTGTATAATAGTGTATTAGATGATTACTTGCAGGTTTAAAATTCTACCGTGGTGGTGCCTTGAGACATTAAACTGTTTTTTAACTCAATGCCAAGTGTATAGCACAGTTCTTCTCATCTGTTTTGAAAAGCTTTTTGTATATGGTTGTTTCAAGTATCATTTGATGTCTTAACAGAGGAGATAAATATAGTTATTGCTAAAGAGGGTTTTCTGTTAGGACATCACAACTTGACTTTGTTATTTACTCATCTGTGAAGTCAGAGATTTTGATGACCAGACTGCAGAGAAGCATGTTGATTACCTTTTAATTTTTCTGGCTAGCTGCCAAACACAAATAGATTTATTATGCAGTAAACAGCAGAGACATAATATTGCATGGGTCACTAGCTGAGAAAATATGAGTTTCTCCATCAGTAATAGCAATTATGTGATAATGCCTAATTATGTTTTTCTTAATTAAAGATAAACTGCTCCTTGATTTAAAGTTTTGCCCTTCACCTTTCAGAAACAGAGGTGAAAATACACAGTTGAAGGAACTCTTTTTGTCATCACATCAAGCCTATGCAACATCAAAGAGCCAATGGAGTGATTACAGTAAAGGACACAAAGCCCATTAAATCCAATATTTTTTCAATTCAGTACAGATATGGTCTGGGTATATGTGAAACATACATACATATGAACATATAGTCTAATTTCTCCAAATACTGAAGAAACGTCGAAGGTTTTTAATTAAAATGTATTAATAGTTGAAGTTTATTGAACCTTTTTTCCTCTTTTTTTTTTTTTTTTTTGTCCTTCATTTGTTTTCCAAGAGTATTCATAACTTGAAGTCAGAAATAAAGGGAAACTGGGATTTTTGCCTTTTTGAAGGGGACTTCATAATGTGAATTTCTCTGCTGCATGATCAAACTATATGCACTAGAGAAATTGCATATCTAAAACATCTGAAAGACTCTGATTTACCTCTAATTTAGTTCTATAAAATTGTTGTTACAAGTTACCAAATTATAAGTCATTTTTAAGACTGAATTATTTCCCTGTCACTTTCTGGTGTTGCTGTATTTTGTCTTTGTGACTTTTTTATCTCTGTTGGTTTTGATCTATTTGCTTTTAAGTTTTCAGAATGCTGAATTTAGCATGCATAATAGAACTATGCATTTATTTACTGTCACTTGAGGGCCAATTTTAATAAACATCATTCAACAATTGTTTATTATGAGACAGGAACACACTGTTAGTTTTGAAATTTTTTAAAACAGTTTGCCCATGCCGTATTTCAATTGATAGATATTTCTGACACTAAAAAAGAGAGACAGCATCGCAGTGATGTCAAAATCAAATATTTTGTTTATGAAATATTTAATATTTTATCGGGAAAAAAACATTTTATAATCATACTAATTTTTTTTTCCATTAAAAATTATGCCTAAACCCAAATCTATTCGCTTTTGTCTACTGCAGCTATAAACTTGTTTAATTGACTCATGATATAATGAAAGACAAGACATTAATAAGTAATGATAAAACAGTGTGAGATCCTGCTTGCAATCCACTATATAAGAGGTGATATACTGATGTTTGACATTCCAACAGCATTTGATTTCTTAAGTAGTTACAGAAATATCTGTTTAATTTTGCAGATACATGCTTCTCTGTATGTTTTGGACACTGTAAACCCAAGTACTGAAAATCTCTTGTTAACTCATTTCTCTATTTGTGCAGAGTAGTAGTTAAATACATTAATATGTAGGCAGAAAAATGAAATAATTACTTGAGCCTTACAGCCTGCATGATTACTTGACTCTGAAGAAACTGTTATTAAGCAACTGATTTCACAGCTAAAATAATTCCTTGACCTCATATTGAGTTAATGCTTTTAAGGTCATTATAAGCCTTCATGAAGAAGAGAAAAGCATTGAGTAATCCTAGACTTTGCATGAGTATTTAAATTAATGGTCAAGCATAGAGAATGCTTATATTATGAATTTGTAAGAAGTTTAAAGATTCAGTGTAACCAATCACCATGGTCAAGTAATCTAGTTAATTAATGGAGAAAGGACTTCTCAGTCATGTAGGAGTCTCATTTGTAATCAGACATAGATAGAAGAAGAGAGGAGTACTTTCATTCTCCATTTTCAGTGATGGGTTTGGGAAGCCTGACTCAGGTGGCCAGGCTTGCACCAAGCACCATTTGAAACAGGCAGAGACTTGGGAGCCAAACACCCTAAAGATGATTCGGTACCTAGCTCAATCATTTACCTCTGCATGACTGAGTAGTGCAACCCAGCAGGAACAGGTTTGTGGAGTGCTGAGGACCCAGTGCCCACTGTTTGTGCATTTCAGGGGTTTACATCAGTGCAGCTCTTGTTTGGTCCTGATAGAGAGAGCAATAGTGGCTGGGGTACATGCCTCCCTGAGCTGGAGGAGAGTAAGCAAGCACAATCATAACTATCCTGAGCTGAGCTGCTAATGCAGTGTCATTCTGAGTCTTCTTCCCAAAATGAAAATATTCTTCCTCCAAGCACATTCATTGCTGTCAACTATTGTTCACTTTTAACAAACTGAAATGCTTTGCTAACTCAAAACAGTCTGAGCTGCTTTCTAATCTAGTATCCATAGCTGGGACCTTAATATAGAAATTTCACCTTCTCCTGAAAGCATAACTATTGGATAAATTTTTTAGGCTTCCATTTCTTTTCCTGAGGACATTGAAAAATCCATAGGAGGGGAGAAACTTGAGGAAGTGTCAGTTTTTTCACAAACTACACATCTCCATTCTGCCCTCCATAATGAGCCATCTAGCAGCTGCCATCACTACAGGGCTGGCTGGTGTCTGCTTTGTCAAAGATCAGATTTGGTACAAGACCTCTTTTCTTTTTTTTACCATAGATACATTGTACAGTCATGGATGATAGAAACCACCCAATACAGTATATATACAGAAGATACATCTCTAGTATAAGCACATATGATTTATGAGCCCATAGGTGCCCATAAATCGCCTTAGCATTCTCAACAATTACCTTTACTGAGATGGAAATAACATGAAGCAAATAGAAGGTAAGAATTTTTGTAGAAAGAACCTTAATATAATATTCATGCTTATGGAAGTGTATAGATTAAAAAAACACATCTATAAAATGTATATGTGTATGTACATTAGAAGCCCAGGGATTAGTTGATTTTATTGGAAAAACTGCTGGGTTTCTCAAGGCAATTTACTACTGCCCTTTTTATGCTACATTGCTCCATCAGTTGCTTACTCCAGGTTGTTTCATGTCCTCAGCTTCTACTTATTTTGTGGAGAAAATATAAGACCAAAGAAAGAGCATTTAATTGCACTGTCTGCATCCCCAAGTTAATTCTTTGTCTAATTTATGCAGAATTTTTTTTCTCTATTTTAAAATATTTTTTTCCAGCTACTGTCATCATACTTTGGGCTGCTGCACTGCATTACAGTATGTGTTAAATTATTGCTTTTCCTGCATTGAACAGCATCCATCATGACAACCACCTGAAGCAAAGAGGAGACACCTCACAAAGACTGGGAAGGCAGCAAGTCAGCTCCTGGTTGACTGGCAAGCTCATTTTCCCGCAAGTGAACAGGTTATGACTCACTAGTAAAAGATGTAACAGATCCTTAATACACTGGCTCTAATTTTAATAACCTTCTAGAAGGGTCTCAGTGGGAGAGGACTTTTTATCTCAGACTGTAAATTTGAAATAGTTACATCCTGCAAGCAGAGTGTTTCAACTTTTTTAGGGTGCATTTGAAAGTAACCAACTTAAACTTTGAGCAGATTGCGAGAACCATAGAAATTGGACAACACTGTAAGAATATGAAGGTGATTCAGTTCTTGCTTCTTGGCAGAGGATGGAGACAAAACACTTTTATCAGATGTTTGAGTGGTCCTATGTTTGGGATTATGGATAGTGACATGCAAAGATCCAAACTGCACTTACTAACGAAGAGTTGCAGTAGCTTTATCAAGAGAGGTGCCACTGCCAGCACCAGACAGAGCAGCTCTGCTGCCCTACGCTCTCTGTCCTGCCTGTCCATTCTATTGTGAATGACAAAGGAGTTGTTCCTTTCCCTGTGCACTCAAAACTGTCCTATGGGGAGTCTGGGCTACCTGAGTGTGCTGTGGCATGTTATTGCAATGCCTAATATATAACTCCAAGAAGGACAACCAAGGGCAGGCAAAAGGGTCTGGTATGTCAGTTTTATGGCCTTGAGGTGAAGAATGTCACTTATGTGACCATTTCAGAAGCAAATCAATATAAACAGAAGTCCTGTTTCAGAGGAACACAAAGGGACAAATGGAGAGACAGGAAATCTCTAGAAATCTTTTCCATCCTCTTCAGATATTCAAACAGAAGCAACAAGTCCCAGTTTCCAAATGCTCACAAAGAGATCCCAGCTTCCAGATGACTTCTGGGTGAGCAGCTCCTGGGTAACTAGGTTTTAACACCATTGTAATTCCCTCCTAACAATTCTTCTGCATGGGGGATGTCAGCAGATTTTCACTGTTTGGGGGAATGAAGTAGTTTCCTGAAAAGGAAGTGGGAAAGAAATTGTAAGGGAGATGCTCCAGGAGGCTGGTACTCTCCACTGCAAAGTCCTTCTTGGAGAAAGGGAAAAGCATGAACCCAGATGCTTTGATAAGAGGAGTGAGGAGTGAGCAAAATCAAATCCTTTCAGAAATATATCTTTTATCAACACAGTCACAGAGATGCTTCTAATCTCCTGCTTTTTCTTTAATGTGTAGGAATTGGGGTGTGCAGAAGAGAAGCTTATCTGATTCCTGCAGGCAGGTTATAGACCCCACTCTCATGCTGTTTGTGGCATCTGCAACACTTCTCTTCATATCAAATTCCTTCTTTTAATTTTTCTCTAATTTTTCCCCCCAAAACTCCATTCTATTTAATTCTTCAGTTTTTATTTCTAATAAACTTCTATTGTTAGTGACCTAAATGGCGAGTTACCCTCCAAAGGCCCATAATTGATGTTATTGATTCGGTACCATCTGTATCTCTCTCCCTCCCTGTAAACAGGGATAAACACTGATGGTGACTGCTCTGAGACACTGCATGCCTTGCTGACCTTTCCTTTGAGAGCTCTGAGGGCTCATAAAGGCAGTTGATGTGCTGGTGGCTCCTAGGTCTTTTGGTCAACAAAACACATAGTCAGACATGGTTAGAGTTTCAGTATTTAATTGTTCACAGAATCACTTGCTGAAAGCAGGTATAGCTTGAGCCAACAACAGCTGGAATTCAAATATTTCAAAACTGCAGTGACTCCAGCTGCTCCAGATGTTTGAGGACTTTTGCAAGGTTCATTCCCTGTCAGCTGTGGCAGCAGTGCTGAGGATGCATGTGTGGCTTAACTTTAGTGTCATCCAATGATAGCACAAGTAGAGATCATTTCCAGTAATCATTGTTTCCATGTTTCCATGGTTACCGGAGAAATTTCTATTTTTGCTTCATGAAGCTAGAAAAAAACAGAATGTCTTCCAAAATCTTTGCAAGGTTAAAGTTAAATGATGAGTAGACAATCTAGCCATTTTTGCTTCATCTATGCCACCTTCTTACTCCCCTTTCACCCTTTCCATCAATTTTGACCTACTGATCCACAGCAAAGCTTCTCCTCAAAAATAATCCCAAAGGGGACAGCAATAAAATT